ACGATGAACCCCGCGTCCTGGGCCATGCTAATGCACGCATCGCGCAGCTCGTTATGGGTGTTGATGCGATGCTTGCCCGTGCCGCAGCGGAGTAGGTGGTTAGGGAGGCGGGGGTCCGTGATGGCGGTGTGGTCAGTGCAGTCACAGTTCTTAGGAGTGGAGAAGGGGAGGGCCAGCCGGAAACGTACGGCATTAGAGTAGTGAGTGGGCCCTATCCTCCTGTTGGCCGCAATGGGGATAGCGGTTAGCCAATCCCCGGTCCCATAGCCGGTCAGTGAGTACATCCGCTGCGTGTGTCCGCACAGGGGGTTCAGCGCCATTTGTCGTGTCTCCTTGACCTGGTCGGCATATCTGCTCCCATGTACCCTCAGTGCCAATGCGTGCTGGAGCCTGGTGTCTGATCGCTCCAACCGTTCTTTCTCCAGGATCTCTCGTGCGTCGTCAGGTAATGCCGCTTCGCACTCCGAGAGCCATGCGTGGAGAGGCGTGGCGACGTTCGCAGGCAGCAGCATATGGTCCCGAGCCTGCGTCAGCGCGCCATCAGGGGCTCCGTCTAGTGATGTCATGAAAAGCGCAGCTTGTGTGAAGCTCGCTGCGTACCCGTACACTCCCTCAATTAGGGGGTCGGTAAGGCCTATCCCCCCCAAAGACGGCGGCAGTGAGGCCTGCGCCCAGACACGTGCTTGTTCGGTTCGGCAGGTGGGGACACGGATGCTGCATGCTGTGAGTAGTGCTGCAAGCAGATCAGTCCCCCACTGACTCCAGGTGTCGTGAGGCAGGAGATGAAGCGGAGTTGTTCTGGTGAGGTATGCCACCCGCCTCGAAACACAGCGGGTGAGCAATAACGAAGCTACCTGAGGTCGGCTTTCTCAAGGAGTGGCAAAGGCTTTGCCATTTCGCCAGGCCCTCGGCTCGGCTGATGACCCCGGTTGCATCTGGTTGATGACGTGGCGGCGCGGGTGAGTTGACTGCTTCAATCGCGTCCCTGTACAGTTGGTCCCATTCGCCACGCTGGAAGGCTCGGAGCCGGGCCTTTATCCGGGGCCAGTTCGGTTTCCGTGGCGAGTTTTGGCGAAGCGTCAGACGCGGCAGAAGCAGAAAGAGGAGAAGGCGCCAACCCGCCTCTGATTCCGGGTTTCGTGACAGGTGGAGTAACGGGGTCAGCAGCGCCAGCGAAAACAGCTGGCACAAATTGGGCGGTAACCGCCGTGCCAGAGATGGCTGTCGACTATCGCAGAGGGCAGGGATATCCCAGTTCGCGACGTCCGCGAACCAGTCTGCCCGCATCGCCAGTTCCTCTGGCGTGAAGTAGCGAGGGATGTTGGGATTTTCTCGCACCGCCTCCGTGTCCGTCGCGGCCCGATGTCGCCTGCTGCGGCCCGTCCTCGCTTGGGATTGTGTGGTTGGAATTTCGCCCGTACGATCGGCATTGGACGGTCCACCTGCAATGTCCCGTTGCTCGCCTTGGGACCGCAATGGTCTTGCTCCCGTCCTCCTCCCGTTCTCCCGTACTCCTTCCTCTCCTTCCGTCCCTTCATCTTCGCTCGAGGGCATGGGCTCCTCCCTATAAGAGGGGTCAGTTCCCTCTTCGTCATTATGTAGCCTGCTTAAAGCCCTTCGAGCCTCTACCTGATAGCCGTTCTCCGGCCCTCCTCCCTGTCCGCTAGCTGCTCCTCGCCCTCCGCCGCGCGCTCCCCGGCCTCGCGATGGTGATTGCTGGAGTGACCGATTACTCGCCAATGCGCGCTGGCGCTGCGTCGGTTGCGTTCGAAAGACTGTCATCTGCCTCTGGAGCGGGGACCTTGGCGACGGGGTCCCCGCCGCTGTCTGTTCCGAAGTCCTTGACAGTAGCCGCTGGAATGACTCTTCCCCTCGAATCCGCGGGTCCTCATGACGTGAACGGGGCTGCGCCGTCTGCGCCGGTTGTTGCTCCCCTGCTCCGCCTCTTGCCCCTGTTCCCCCTGGTCCTGTTGTGCCGCCGGCGGTCTCTGCTCCTGCCAGGAGGTTGCTGTTCCTCCTGTCCCTGTCCCTGGTGCGCCCGTTGCACCTGCCGTTTCTGTCCCCGGCGTGCTTGCGCCGGCGTCTGCTTCTTCCCCGAAGGCGGCGTCCGCCACCACTGTCGGCCCGGCCCCGGTGGTTGCGCCTCAAGGCGTGGACCAGCCTGGTCCCGCTCTTCCGCCGGCGGGCCCTGTAGTGCAGCCGGCCCGTCCCCAATCGCCAGACCGCCGACTCTCCCGGCCCCATTCTCCCGCGCCCCAGCAGGAGCGCGAGTCGTCGCGGCGCCGGCGCAACTCTCCCCGGCGCTACCAGCAGCAGGCCCAGTGGCCCGCTCATCGCGGTGGGAATGGGGGCTGGCGAGGGTCCCCGCGGTGCGTTCCGCCCGCCTGTGACAATGGCGGATCTTCAGCGGGAGGTGTCACGGGCCGTGCGTGAGGAGAGGGCGGCGCTGAGCCAGAGCAGTTCCCCGCGGGCCGCGCCGGCGCCAGAGGCTCCTCGTCCGACCGCGCCTCCTGTGGTCCTTCCGTCGGCTGCCGCGTTTCCTCCACCCGTCCTCGGCCCGTCAGCTCCTTCTCTGTCTGTGGCTGCGCCAGCTCCCGGCTCTCGTCTGCATCTGCCGCCGGTTCCACCTGTTGCAGGGGTGGAGTTCGTGGCCGCGGGTGGAGGCGCGGCAGCGACTCAGTATGCAGCTGATGAGCCGCTCCAGTTCCTGGCGGAGGCGCTTCAGCCTCCGCAGACTCGTGTTCCCCAGTCGACTCTCGGTCAGCTCCACCGCCTCGCCGAGAGTCTCCACGCGTTGCTGCTGATACAGGTCCTTGCTCACTCCTCACTCCCTGTGATCTCTCCTGAGTCATTCCGCGACCGTCCGCGCGAGACTTGCCTGGATGCGGCGGACCAGCTCGCAGTGCTGCTGGCGCCCGTGCTGGCTGCGCCCGCGGAGGGAGGCGCTGCTGCTGCGGGACAGCTGGACGAGGCTGTCCGGAGCTTGAAGCGGCATTTGCGCGCAGGATCTGGAGCCGCGGCGATCGGCGCAAGCACGCTTGTGGTCCGGGAGCTGTGGCGCTCCCTGACGGGCGTTCTTCACGCCCTTGGAGCTCACCGCATGTAGGCGCGGGCTCCGGTTGCTCCATTAGTGAATCTCGCGGCTAGGCCGCGGTAGGTGCTGCCATGTGTGTAATGATTGGGACTATAAACCGTCCTGTTGTGATTACTTGCCGTCCCCTCGCGCGCGGCCGGAGGCCGCGCCGTCGAGCGTCGGCCGCCGAAGGCGGCCGGCGCGAGCGAAAAATTTCTCAGCCGCCAAACTAACAATGAAAACACAGCCTTAGGAAGGCCTTGAGTAGGGCCCAGAGGCCACGGGCAGAGGCTAAAGGGCTGAGGGGAGAGGCGACCTTTCTCTCGAGCTCTCCGCTCTCTCTCTCTCTCTCTCTCTCTCTCGCTCTCTCTCTCTCTCTCTCTCTCTCTCTCTCTCTCTCTCTCTCTCTCTCTCTCTCTCTCTCTCTCTCTCTCTCTCTCTCTCTCTCTCTCTCTCTCTCTCTCTCTCTCTCTCTCTCTCTCTCTCTCTACATGCAATTATCACAATAACATCAAACATTAAAACACATAATACATACAGTATAGCATGAAGCACAAAACTACTACATAAAAAAATCGCGAAAATATTCGTTTACAAAATTGCTATCAATATTCAAAACTTTTCAACATGCACAATGAGAAGGGTGGTACTGTAGCTTACGAATTTTATTTTCATGTTTTACTTAAAAATTCATGAAAAAAAAATTGTCAAAATCGATTGTAAAGGATTGTTTTGCAACCAAAAAGAAAAAAAGAGGTGACTAAGTCAACCTAGGGCAGTACATAATTTTATACAACTTTAAGCAGTATAGTATGAAACTTAAGTATGCTTTCCTAGTAAGTTTTCTGAAACACACCAGCACCAGTAGAAATCAAGGAATCTCTCACTTACCTGCTGAAATTAAGCCGACTACACAACCATTGCTGTCTTTTGCTCGCTACTAAAACATTAAGTCAATTTCAAACGTGACAAATCTGTTACTGCCTTAGGGTTTGGTCGTTCCTCTTTTCTCTCTCTCCCTCTCGCTAGTCAAATGCTCCACCTAGTCACGCTAATCCACCTACTAGTGCTAAGGTAAGTGGCAGAAGTCTAGGCAGGAATGATTGAACTATCAGGAAGGTGGGTACAAATAGAAACCCTAACATTGGGTTGTACCCCATATGGGCTACCCCACTACAGCCTACAGACTATACTACAGCAGACATATGAATATAGTTTGACACACCCCCATAGGCAAAGTGGGGGAGAACAAGGGGTCACAAGACCAGTCAAGAAAAGCAAAGCAAGCTCAGGGTGGATCACAACGTCACCACACACACTGAGCACAAGCAAAGGGCCACAAGGCCAGTCCACATGCAAAGGTAGATATGAGCATCGAACCGAACTTCAGTTCGGTTCGAAATGTTCGGTTCGAGCTATCTCGAACCGAACTCTTTTTCTCGTGGAAAAAGTTCGCGCGAACTTGACTGATGTTCGCGCGAACAGTTCGTGCGAACATTTTGGATTCGCGATAAGAACCTCGAACCGATCAGGTTCGAGGTTTGAATATGCTCATTTCGAACATCGGGGGGTTCGAGATAAAATAATCGCGCTTCAAAAAACCTCTCGCGACTTTCCCGTCATAATCGGGAAAGTCCGAGAGTTGGCTGCCATTTTACGGCAGCCAACCCTAAAGTCGATAACCTAGGCATCTAGAGACTAGATCTAGATCTAATCCTACTCTAGGCTCTAAGCACACAACACAACCATGGATCCTCTAGATCCTACCATGCATTTCGTCTATAATTTAGGGTAGATCAGTGCGCCTTCATCAAGTTCCAGAGATGATGGGTTTCTTTAAGTTTAGTAACACTAGTTCAAGGCATTCCGTTTTTTAGGTCTTGGACCAACAACTTCGGTTTTTTAGGGAGGTGTAGGGACTGGAATTATGTCGAAGTACTTTCAGCCCCGGAATGCCGCCGTCAGTGAGCAACAAGAGGGGACGAACGACCGGGGGCCGGAAAATGCTCCCCCGCGTGATCAACCGGCCCGATTTGGGGAGGTTTCCTTGGGACTCCCGGGGTCGGTTCGTACATTCAGAGTGGGCACGGAGCTGCGGGGTGTGCGTGCTAGTTCCCGTGTGGAAGGTGCTGCCGCGGGACATGGCGAGGGTGTTGCGGCGGGCGAGGAGGAGGAGGAGGGTGATGGGGAGGGGGAGGGGGATGAGGAGGATGAGGAGGAGGATGAGGAGGAGGAGGAGGAGCACGTGCAATACCGTGTGGTAGGGGAGAGTGGGGATGAGGAGGATGGCTCGGGCAGTGGCGAAGATAGTGAGCGCGCGTACTCTCCCACAGATGAGGGGGGTGATGCGGCCGATGACGAGGACCACGAAATGGATGACCTGGTGGCGGAGGATGGTGGGGAGGAGGACGAGGAAGAGGGCGACGATGAGGAGGGGGTTGGCGAAAATGAGGGGAGGCGTGCAAGTAGGCCGGCGCGCCGCTAGCAAGGTGCGGCGAGTGGAGTAGGTCAGGGGCGGGCTGGTGGTGTGCGCAGTGGGCGTGTCGAGAAGAGGGGTCGCGGGAGGGGGACGAGAGGTAGAGGTGCGACGGCGCGGGGTCGCACGTCCCGCCGTTCCCCGCTGATCGAGGCATCTGTGGACGAGTCTAGGCCTCGGCGACGGCCACGTGCACCGATCGATGACGCTGAGCTAGGCATGACTGTCCACATGTATGGCCCTAAGATCAACGAACGGCGCAAGTGCAAGATGTGCCCAACTACGATTTCATGGCAGAACAGCACCACCACATCCGGCAAGCGGCAATATCACTCCAAGCACCGTGCACATTTGGGTATCTGGGAGCACCGATGGAACAACAGTCTAGTGGGTGAGGGTGAGACATTTCCAGAGGGAGGGTATTAGGGCGTGCCTAATGGGGGGATCGATTGGCCGTACTGCACGCAGTGGCCAAACATCCCTGGACGTCAGGGCGGCATTCGTGGAAGGGGGGGGATGGAGCGCTTTGTGGGCCGCTGGTTCGGCGTGCGCTCCTTGCGGGAGGCACTCACCAAGCTGGTGGTGACGGGCAACGTGCCCTTCCGCTTTGTGGAGCTGGAAGCGGTGAGTACCAATAACGATGATTGTTTCTGACAATTCTACGTTGCCATATGCCTCGATGTCTTGCATTCTTCAATTCTGGGGTGTCTTTCACTTATCGCCGTGATACCTCACCGCCATTGCTGTCCATCCCTCTGAATGTCACGCGCAGTTCCGCGAGTTGATGCTGCTGCTGAACCCGAACGTCGCGAACGTTCAAGTCCTTCCATCTAGGTGGACGGTTGCTCGCGATGTAGTTGTATTTGCGGAGCGCGCACGGGAGGAAGCGATGGCTGATTTGGCACCACAGCCTGGAGAGCGCCCCACAGGAGTCGCAATATCCAGTGATATCTGGACCGGGGGGAACGGGAAGGCCTACTCGGTGGTAAAGGGTCACTTTGTGACACGAGACTGGAAGCTGCGGGAGGTGACGCTGGACTTCCGTGAAATGAGAGGGCGACACGGTGGAGAGCAGATTGCGGAGTTGGTGCTGCGGGTGGTGCGTGATTGGGACTTGGTGGACCGTTGTGTCGCCTTCGTGAGCGACAACGCGTCTAGCAACACCCGCGCGTTCCACCTCCTCTCGGGTGGTAGTTCTCGCCCTGCCATTTTCCGCCCAGGCATGCACGTCAGGTAACTAGCTTTACTACGCAAGGGTTTCGTGTGTCTTGAAGTCGTTGTGTTTGTTTATGCCGGGGGTTCTTTCACCCCCGGCATGTATGGTGACATGACATTTGTGCACCGTCCCCACCCCTCCTCTCGCCCTACCTCAGGTGCACCTCGCACGTGCTGAACTTGGTGATCCAGACAGCACAGAAGGTGCCCCTTGTGCGCAAGACCCTGCGGCTGGTGCGAGACGTTGCGGTGTTCGTTGGGTACTCCCCCATCCGCACGGCGAACTTCCAGGCGGAGCAGGTGCGGGCGTACCCGGGTAGAGCGCCCTTGAAGCTGGTCCAGGACAGCCCTACACGATGGGGATCGACGTATGAGATGGCGGTCCGCTTCCTCGAGCTGCGCAGGGCGATCCACGTCCACTTCTACGATGACCAGGTACGATAGTGCTAGTATCCTACCACCTGCATGGCCTTTGCTGCAAATTGTTGTACTGCTTGTATTGGCGCAAGATTTAGTACGACATCCTAATCGTTGGTCTCTACCCCCAATGCCTCTTCCCTAAACCCCGACCCCAGGGCACGACAAAGAAGGAGCGGAAGCGCTATAAGTAGCTCCGCTTGACAGATGACCACTGGGAGGCGCTTGTGGCGTTGAAGGTGTTTCTTGCACCCTTCAACGCCGTCAGCAAGGCAGCAGAGGGGTCGCTCTATCCGACCATCTCCATGGTCATTCCGAGCTACAACGACCTGCTGGACAGTTTGGAGGAGAAGCGCCATGGCACGCCGTCCCCGCTGATCAGGGCGATGATTGTCGCCGCGCTGGGGCACCTGAAGAAGCACGTGTATGCCAGCAGCGACGACCTGCTCATCGCCACGTTCCTTGATCCAGCGATGCGAGATGGGTACTTCGCTCTAGGCACGTTCGAGACAAGGCACCCAGAGTTGGTTCAGGATGGGAGGGAGAGGCGAGCAACGGGCCCAGTGACGGTGGAGCGGATCCTAGACCTAGTGCGCACACGTGTGACGGATTACCAGGCGCGGGCAGCAGCGACAGCGCCTGCGCCTCCACCTGCAGCAGCAGCGCCAGCTCCAGTAGCTGACATTGAGGGGGATAAGGCTATTGGCAGTAGGCGCCGCTTGATTGCGCGCGTATCTGCTTCGCGGGCTGCAGGAGGGGCTAGGCAGTTGGGCGACGAGGTGGACAGATATGTCGGGCACGAAGAGACTGGTGACCTATCCCCCCTCGAGTTCTGGCGCACAGTGAAGAACCTCGACACGCTGCGAGCCATGGCCAGGGATTATCTGGCGATTCCCGCCACCTCGGCGTCGTGCGAGCGAGCTTTTTCACAGAGCAGGAACTTGATCACATTCCAGCACACACGCCTGAACACCGAGCGTGTGCGGTCGTGCATGACTCTGCGGTCTTGGTACGACACGCACCCTGGTGGTCGTATCGGTGATGGGGCAGATTCTGCCCGTGCTGCAGCTGTAGTGGACTTGGGGCTCGAGGGAGAGGAGGACTGCGAGGAGGAGGAGGAGGAGGAGGAGGAGGAGGAGGAGGAGGAGGAGGAGGAGGAGGAAGAGGAGGAGGAGGAGGAGGAGGAGCAGGGGGGGAGGCGACATGTGCTGCGGGTGTGGGAGAGGGCCAGGGCTAGGGTGTTATGGGTTCGTGTGGATGGGTGTTGCTAAACTATGCTCCAATTTTCCTTTAGACTTCTCTTGATTGGACCCTTGGGGGTTTTAAGACCCTCGCGTTTGCTTCTTTTTTTTTTAACATGATGCCGTTCACACACCCTAGACATGCATGTGCTGTAGAATAACATGTGCAGCATTTTAAACCTCAAACCTGCAAAGGTTCGAGTTCGCTCAACCCTTATACGGTTTGAGCAAACCTTTCGGGTTCGCCATTGTATTCTCAAACCTCAAACCTTAAAATTCTGAAAAAAGTTCGAGCAAACATGTTCGGTTCGGTTCGAGCAACATGCGAAGTTCGAGAAAGTTTGCTCAAACACGTTTAAGTTCGGTTCGTGCTCATATCTATGCAAAGGTATGTATGCAACAGGAACAGCACAGTGATCACTACCTAGCAAGAGCAAGCATGCAGGTATATGTATATAGATCACAGTACAAGCAAAGCCTACAGCAAGTGTGGAAACGTAGGTACAAGGCCTAACAAGGTACAGAAGCGCTGATGATCACCAGACGAAAGTGCCTTGGTGAATATATCAGCAGTGTTGGCCCGAGTGGCTACGTGAGCAAGACGAAGCTGACCTCGCTGCTGCAAATCTCGAGCCAGGAAGTAACGCAGAGCGATGTGCTTTGTTCTGTGCTCCAGTCTGTGCTCCTGACACAAGGCAATGGCGGCCTTGTTGTTGACGTACAGAACTGGAGGGGAACGAGGCCGCTCTCCCAAGTCAGTCAGCAGGTAGGTGAGCCAGCGTAACTCCTGAGCAGCCATGGCTGTGGCGTAGATCTCAGCCTCACAACTGGAGCTGAGAACAGAAGACGAGCATGTAGACCGCCAAGAAACAGAGCCAGAGCCAAGACTGAAGGTGTAACCCTGCGACGACCGCTGCGTAGCCTGGTCGTCAACCCAAGACGCGTCAGAGTGTCCAGTGAGGACAACGTCACCCCGTCCTCCAAGCACGAGCCCCATGCCTGATGTACTGCACAGGTAGCGCAGTACCCTCTTTGCAGCATCCCAGTGCAGTTTTTGGTGATTACCAGGAGCCACGTAGCGAGCCAGAAGGCCAAGAGGGTACGCAAGGTCAGGTCGAGTGCAGGTCATGAGGTACATGAGGCAGCCCACTAGCTCTGGGTAAGGACCACTCGGCTCTACGGACTCGTCCGAAGGTGGATCTGAGAGCGAGTGACCTATAGCCAGAGGAGTGGACTGTGGGGAGGACCAGGTGAAGCCGAAGCGCTGAAGGACCTGCTGCACCATGTGTGACTGAGTCAGTGTGATGGTGCGGCGTGCTCTGTCGCGGGTGATCTGCAAGCCAAGGTAGCTGCGCAGCTCACCCAGGTCTGTGCACGTGTGTCTCTTCTGCAGCTCCGACTTCACAAGGGCGAGAGCCTCAGTGTAAGCAGTGGCAAAGACCAAGTCGTCGACGTACACGAGGATGTAGAACGGTGGCAGCGAAGTGTCGGTGCGCAGAAACAGTGACGGGTCAGCAGTGGAAGGAGCAAACCCAAGAGCCGCAAGTGTCGTCATCAGTGTGTCGTGCCACTCACGAGGCACCTGGCGGAGACCGTAGACTGGCCGCCGGAGGCTCCACTAAATACCAGGAGGAAACGACCCAGTGAAGCCAGATGGGCGGCGCAGCCAGATCTCCTCGTGCAGGCTGCCCTGTAGGAAGGCTGTGCTGAAGTCAAGAGAGTGAAGCTCGTAGTCACGCTGAGCGGCAACGTGCAGCAGCACCCGAAAAGTGGTCATCTTCGGGATGGGGGAGAAGGTCTGGAAGAATTCAACTCCCTCTCGCTGACTGAAGCCTCGAGCAACGTAGCGAGCCTTGAAGACAGGCGGAGAATCCGGCGGCCGCTTCATCCTGAAAATCCACATGCCATCGACGTAAGTGCCTATGAACTTCCAAGATGCCATCTCTGCGTCCATGGCTGCTTGCCACTGAGAGGAGTACTCACCCGCGATCGCCTCAGCGTAAGAGCGCGGGGTCGGGATGTCTACAGCATCCGGGTCTCCCTCAGGGGCAAGCAGCATGGCCACGAGATGAGGCGCAGCAGCTGCAAGACACTCAAGGTCCTCGTGCCTGTCCTCAAGGACGTCCGTGCCAAGAGCACACTCACCCCCGACGGACGGAGGACAGACAGACTCAGACTCAGCAACAAGACTAGCAGCGTAGTCTAGACGACAGGCAGCAGCAAAGTTAACAAGCTCAGCGACTAAGGCAGACGCAGCAGCAGACTCAAACGACGGGTCAATGACAACAGTGGCTAGCAGACGCGTGACCGTAGGGTGCTCAGCACGAAACCGGTCAGACTCAGGGTCCGAAACGTCAGGCAAAGAAGACGCAGGAGGAGACGGCAGAGGAACACGCTGTGGAACAGAGGAAGGACGAAGTGCCATAATGTGCGTGCCAGGGACAGGAGGAGGACGCTCACGACTAAGACGACTAGTGCGACCAGTGCGACCAGTGCGAACAGGCGAGACAGGACGGGACGCAGGCTCGCGACGCTCAGTAAGACCTCCTGTCTGCTCAGTGTAAGGAGAGGGAGCAGGCAGGGGGGAGCCTGGCTGTAACGGTAGGCCAGTGGAAGACGGCAGGCTAAGAACCTGGCGAAGCACTGTGTCAGGAGGCGGCAGAGACGACGGTGACGGCGGAGAGAAGAACAGTCGCTGCGCAGCAGTGCCACCAGCACTAGTAGCTCCAGTGCCTCCAGCAGCTCCAGAACCTCCAGTAGCTCCAGACCCTCCAGCGCCAGCTCCTCGAGCGCCAGCACCACCAGCAGCCGCAGAACCTCCAGCGCCAGCACCGCCAGTACCAGCGTCACCAGCAGCAGCACCCCCAGAACCGGCAACTCCAGTCCAAGTATCTCCAGCAGCAGCACCCCCAGACGCAGCACCTCCAGCCCCAGCAGCTCTAGTACCTCCAGTACGAGCACCTCCGGGTCTAGCGGCTCCAGCACCTCCAGCAGACAAAGTGCTCGCAGTACTCCCAGCTCCAGTGTCAGCAGCTCCAACAGCACCTCCTGCGGCAGGGTCAGCAGTACCACCAGCTCCAGCGTCCTCAGGCCCAGCGGCTCCAGCGTCGTCGGCACCTCTCGCACCAGCCCCAGTACCCTCTGAACCGGCACCCCCAGCTCCAGGGACGTCAGCAGAAGCGCCTCCAGCGGCAGAGCCCCGAGCTCCAGCAGCGCGACCCTGACGGCGAGCGTACCACTCGTGCAGCTGCTGTGGGGAGAGAGGCGCACGCGGACGAAGGCGGCCACTCCAAGGAGACCGCGCACAAGCAGTCTCAGTACCCTCAGGCGCCGCACCCCCAGACTCAGCACCCCCAGGCTCCTCACGCTCAGGCTCAGCACCCCCAGACTCAGCACCCCCAGACGCAGCACCCCCAGGCGCAGTACCTCCAGTCTCCTCACGCTCAGGCTCAGCACCTCCAGGTCCAGCACCCCCAGGCCCCACACGCTCAGGCTCAGCACCCCCAGACTCAGCACCCCCAGGCTCAGCACCCCTAGGCTCCGCACACTCAGGCTCAGCACCCCCAGACGCAGCACCCCCAGGCTCAGCACCCCCAGAGACAGCACCCCGAGCAGGACCACCCCCAGCAGGACCTGAGTCACCAGTGACCTCAATAGGCTCAGGCACAGGAGGGTCTACCTGAGAAACACCTGAAGGAGCAGGACCTAGCGCGGGGAGGGGGTCTACGTGGGGAGGACCTGGAGTGAGAAAGAGCGGAGGGGGGGGGGGGGGGGGGCGAGCGGCAGTGCGGTAGGGAAAGAGACGGTAAAAGGGGACCGACTCGTCGAAGGTGACGTCCTGAGACGCAAAGACACGGCGCGAAGCGGGGTCGTAAAACTGCCAGCCAGGCGCTACAGGAGGAAAACCAAGGAAGACGCAGGGAATGGCGCGAGCGGAGAGCTTGTCCGCGGTGGTATCGCGGACAAAGGCACGAGCACCCCAGACCCGGAAGCGCGATGCATCGCCAACCTCCCCCGTCCACAGCAGTGTGGGCGAGGTCTCCGGCAAGGAGACACGGGGCCAGAGGTTGAGCTGATGCGCCGCGTACCGGACCGCAAACGGCCACAGAAAATGGGGGGCAGCCGCATGGATCATGGAGGTACGAGCGACCTCCATGACTAAGCCAATGCGGCGCTCGGCAACCCCATTCTGCTGCGGAGAGGCTGGAAGCGTGAACGACTGGCGGATGCCGTGCTCCTCACAGAAAGCTCGCAAGAGGTCGGAGGTGAACTCACCACCTCTGTCAGAGTGCAGATGCAGGACAGGAAAGTCCGAGTGGAACCGCTCGCGGAGCTGGAGACGAACAGCGCGGATCCAGGGGATCAGAATATTAGGGACCTGACCCTTGCTGCGCAAGGGGAAGACCGTGGTGTAACGCGTGTAGTCGTCGACGACCAGCAGGAAGTACTGCTCGCGGCCCTGCCCCTGGACGCGGGCTGGGCCCCACACGTCTAGGTGGAGAGTCTGCACTGGATCCTCTGTGGGAGGAACGAGGAGGAGTGAGGAGCGGTGCGCTGCCGCCCCTCGACGCAAGGAATGCAGGGCGGGGCAGGCAAGGGAGGGAGGGTGGGCAGAGTCCTGGGAAGGCGAGAGACCAGTAGGCGAGAGTGCATGCCACGAAGGCGGGGTAGAGAGGGGTGACCAAGGCGGTGGTGCCACGGGATAGTGTCGTGCGACAGGCGGCGACACTCACACTGGGTAGCTACCTGAGCAGACGCGTACAGCTGAGGAGACACAGGGGTGTAGCGCGACACAGTGGTGAGGGTGTACAGGCTGGACTCTGGCGCACGTGTGAACGTGGCCAGGTGGCGGCCAGTCCTAGAGCACGTACAGATCGCCACACGCTATCCTTCAGGAGTAAAGGTGTCAACCCAATGATCCTGAAGGACGGCGTTGCTCACCAGGTTCGTAGAGAACGAGGGGATGTGGAGACCTGACAACGTATTCGGATGTCCCAGCTGTTGAAGTGTGCGTTGCTCACGTCCTGGCA